CATTTGTTTCTACTTATAAGGGTGGGAGGGAGGAAATTTTTTGAAAGTGTGAATGTTCTGTCTTTCATCTGCTTGACCGTCCGGTGTTGAAGTGGTGTGATGTGTGTGATGTCATGTTGTTTTTTTATTTTTTAAATTTACCATTACTTTACCTGATCTAGGAATCCTTATTGTTAGTTAGATCATACATAAAGACTGATTTTCTTAGGTACTTGAAATTTTACCAGGGGAATTGGACTCCCTCGGTTTTTTATCCAGATGCTTAGAGAAATCTTCCAGAAAGACCTCCGACTCCGCCACTGAATTATTCATTTTGCATTGGGTCGCGAGTAGACCGTGTGCGATTATTAAATCCTCAGCCCTTAAATGCCTTCGCTGAGTAACCTGCTATAGGTAATCATGACCCTATGGTTCAATTGAAAATAATGATAATCAATGTAAAACTTCGACCTCTCAGCACCCTTTATATTTTGATCAAGGATCGTTATTACTTACATCTGTATCTGCTTATCAATGGATTTACTGATTCTAGGCTTAGGGTTTTTTTTTTCTTTTTCTTTTTTTTTGACTCGAGATTTACTGTTATGCTATATCTCATCAAAGAATTTGAATACTTTGAGTTTCTCCAGTCAAGAAACAAAAGTAACTAAATGTGGAATTGGAGGGAAAAGTTGTTTTCCCATCCAATTTCAAGAGATCCAATCCGAAGAGATTTTTTTAGGGTTTAAAAATCTCTTGCTTTTCGGAACTGTGACACAAAATTTTGAGCTTATTTGTCTCCTTCAATTGCGTCTTCACTTCATTGCTTCTTAAATACAAATGCTTAGTTATTTCTTGATAAATTCTCTAAAATGTATTTTAAGATTACTCCATGCTATGCAGCAAGTAGCCAGATTTTTGTGTCACAGCTACAAACCCTCAGGATAATTGTTCGAAATGTGTCCTGTTACAATCACATTACTTAAAGCAACAGTGCGTTGCAAGAGGAAATTGTCATTCAAGCTTCAGAAGTTTTATAGAGGGATTAACAAAGTTTTTTGGACACCACTCTGAAGTTCAACCTGTGGATGACATTCATGATGTAGAAATGTCACATTTTTGTTCTCATTAATTGCCTCAAGATAATGCAAAATCAACGTAGCATTTGTCTTTTTCCCTCTTCTTTTTTATTTTTAATTCTCATTCAAAGTCAAATTTCAATCATGCAAATTAAGTTTGCACCCTATTTAAATTTCACTTTGGACTGTCCACAGTCCATTATCAAATATTCCCAAAATCTGTGTGACTTTACTAGAGAGATGATTAATCTTGAATCTTGTAAGTCTCCATTTCCACCTAGGAGTTACAAATGTTTTAACAAGGGTTTTTTTCTTTTTCTTTTTTGATTGTTCCAGTTTCTAGCAAGCAGTATGTAATTATTTTCTTGTTGACTCTGTCTCTGAGATATTCTCATGTTTTAATTAGTTTCCATTTCATACAATTGTCAAACTTACTCCATAATCATCCAACCATAGTTGCTTGTGTTTGAATCCTTATCATGTGTCTTGAGTAATGGTTTTGACTGCTTGCTAGATGTATTTCCATTTCTTTAAATCAGAAGGTTAATTCCTCTTTTTTCTCCCCCCTCCCCCCCCCAACAAAAAAAAAAATAAAAGAATTAAGTTGCATCTAAAGATGCACCACTTAAGTGAGGGAATGTATTTGCATAATCTCTCATTCACTCATGATTCCAAGAATTAAGTGAAATTCTGTTCCATTTGTCCTTTTTTTCATTGGAAGTCTGTTAAGTTGAAGTTTTAAGTAAGACAGCAGAAAGACTGCCACTTTAAAAATTTTCTGAACCTCTCACAAGAATAACTCCTTTTGGTACGTTTTTTACTAAGTCAATGGTCTTAAAGCAGGACTATTCTGTTACTTCTTGTGGAAGTTAGGTTCTCTCTGAATATGGCTTGCTATGAAGCCCAAATTCCTGCAGTATGATCTAAGTTACCTAATTTTCTAGCTTATGTGATGACCTGTCGTGTTACAATCTTTTACAATTTGTTTAGGTTTTTTGACTTGTCTGTCTGCCTGCAGCAATCCGAGTCTGCAACTATGAACTTTAATATCTTGCTTTTGTTGGGTGCCCCTGCCCATGTTATTAAAAGTAGACGATACTGCGTGGTGCGGTAACTATGCATTCAGTATGTATGGTAACTTAAGTTACTAATTCAAGCTGCAGGTCTCCCACCATAGGATTTGAATCAATACTCGTTGAATCTTCCATTGATTTTCATAAAATTTTTGTGTGAGAATCAGATCATCAAGAACAAATAAAGCTTGAAGTCATAGTCTCTAACAGAATATACCTAGTGAGAGAGAAAAAAAAAACAAATTAAATAAAAAATATATTAATAATAAAACCTTTCTGTGATTACTTCCTGTTGCGAATATAAGTCAACATTCTGCTTCCTGCAGTTTGTCTCTGAATTGTATTTCTCTGTTGACGTTTGTGGAATTTGAACTAAATACACTTACTGATTTCCAATGTTATGTATGAACGTTTTTATTCCATTAGAATTCCCTACACCACTCCTTCTCCATATTTTGTACCAACAATACCTGATCCATTTCAGCAGGTCAAAGCAAGCTATGTAAAATACCTGTTTCTTACTTGAAATTGCATTGATACCGAATAGTATCTCCCCTCTCTACTCTGTGTTTTTGAATCTGTAATTTTCTTTAAAATTTAAAATTGGAAAAAAAAAAAAATATATCTGTTGTATAAACTGAGTTTTCTGAAGGCCCAGATGGGTAGGCAAATTAGCTCCTAAATGCTTACAAATCTTTCTTTGAGCAACATATTTTTCCAGGGGGCTCCATCTACCTACAATTTTAGGAAGGATCCATCTTTAGGAAGCTGGCTGCATTTTTAAAGTTATATACAGTATTGTCAGACTAGAAATATTTTCCGAAGACATTCTCTCTCTTTACATGCCAGCTCACCTCGTAAGATAGGTTTCAATTTTCATTTACCTTAGGTACATTGTTAAATAATTGCCACAGCACAGTTGTGTGTGTTGCCCATCTTTCAATTAAAGGAGCGACTATAGTTGAAGTTAGAGGTATCGTACGAAAATTGAAACAAGTAGCAAGTTGTCTTCTCATTACAAATTTACCACTTCCCGGTACATTGACTCATTGATTGTTCAAAAATGTCATCGAAATTCTATAAAAACATTACATTTTCATGCATTGTTATGCAACTTTATTGAAATAATTTTTACACTGTGTGCCTCTAGGGTCCTCATTATTAGCTACGTTGATTCATATGTCATCTCTAGTACCTAGTAAAACATGGAACTGCCGTTTTACGGAAAAACGCCGTTTCAGCATTCAAATGTTGCCAAATTTCCCCTCGGAAAGTGGGTATTTATTCTTAGTTGGGCATGTTACCTAACATGTTACCTAAAAATATTCGTCCTTGAAATTTTCAGGCCATTTAGATCAAATTACGAATAAAATTCTTTGTCGAATTGGAAGAAAAATATTTACCTACGAATCTTCTTAGAAATTTTTAATTTATCACAGGAAATTTGGCAGCGGCTGAAGGCTCATAAGACTTTTCTTAGCACGGCAGCGTAGTTGTGGTTACCAATATTTGCTGCCTCTGCAACTGTCATTTTCCATGCTTTGTCAGACAAGAAGATTTGCTGAACCATGAACACTGTAAAATTAAATAGGCATTCAATAACGGAACTGCCATTTAAAAAAAAACGAGCTCACTTGTCATTATTTTTTTTTATTTTCCAGCAAAATACATATACAATTACCAACGGACTAAAACATGACCTGGAGGTCGCAGTATAGGTCGATCTGAAGGTACAATACCTTTGCCCGATTTCTTAGGACGTACGTCTCGTGACAAAAAAACGTACACCTACCCAACCCACCCATCTTGATACATGCAATTTTCCAAATATTGTCTGATGCACGGTAGAGATATATGATATACTGCCGTGCTAAGGATGAACGCCGTATGAACATTCGAGAGTTGCCAAATTCTCTGCGATAAAATGTTTATTTTTGAGGAAAGTTATGAATATTTTTCATTTAAGTTTTCAGAATCTTTCGGTGATGTTGCAAACAAAATTATCTGAAAAATTGGGTGAAAATTATACTCATAAGTTTACCAGGAAATTCGCGTTTTATCAAAGGAAATTTGGCAACGCCTGCAGGTTCATACGGCGTTTTTCCTTAGCACGGCAGTCTAACACAGCACAAAATCTACATCGCAACCAACCTTAAAATCACTGAATATTTAGAATGACAAAGAAGTAGGTATATCGACTTTCCTGGGACAATAATCGTCGAGCATTTTACTGCGGACAGATTATTGAAACTAATGGACAAAGCGATAGACAAAGAAGACATAGGGAGTATGGAGCGATCCTATAGGTTGTCATGGTTAAGAAAATGATAGACTAACTGTCGGGTCTTAAGTGGGTTGTCGTTAGTTAGTCTATTACCTACCTCCTTTGTCCATTGCAACCAGCCACTTCCACCTTTAAGATCTCTCCATATCTCTTTTATCTCCTTTGTCTATAGCTTTGCCTATCAATTTCAACAATCGGCCCGCTGCAGGCTGATTATTGAAGATAATTGACAAAGCGATAGACAAATAAAAGACGCATAAAAGTCAATGCGGGCGGGGTAATAGACTTGTAGTTAGGTTACGTTTCGTTCAGCAACTAAACTAACTCCGCTGCAAACCATACGGTATCATGCCGGATTGAAGGCGCAAAGTATAAGCGTACAGTCATGAGTCGGCGAGTGTTCGAGGTAAAGTAGTGAATTTTAGACTATTGAATATTATTAAATTTGCTACCTAGTCCATTACCTACTTTCTATGCTCCATTGCCACCAGCTACTTCCACCAATCGGATCCCTCCAAATCCCTTTTGTCGTCTTTGTCTATAGCTTTGTCTATAAGTTTTAATAATCGGTCCGCTGATCTGCAATATACTCGACGAGCATTTGACTGATCAGCAGTCGCACGGATTTTCGTGTCTCTCCCAACGATTCTCGAATAGAGGCTCTTCGACTTGAGTCGACTTCTCGTGTGGACGGCTCTCGATGGGCGGAGGGTTGGTCGACGAGGGTAGACAAAATCTGTAACACGGGATTCCGAGAGTCCCTGATCCACTCGACAAGAAGGTCTTTCGTAAGTTCTGAAAAAATAAAACAGTGTTTTCAGCAGATAAATAAATGTCACAATCCGTGGGGGAGAAGTATCTAATGATCTTTTCCTAGGTGTCTAGCATCAGGATTTTCCCTTTAGTCAAGATTTAATCCCGACTTATCAGGATTTGAGGAAAAATCGGTCGTAAAACCAGGATTTTAGAAAAGTCGGCCGCCCGATCGGATTTTTATATCGAGCTATTTTTTTTAAAGTTACATTCGCTCCGCAATTAATCAGGATTTGAAAAAATTGTGAAATCAGGATTTAGCAGTCAAAAATCAGGAAAAATCAAGATTTCTCAAATTGAAAAAAAAACTTGACACCCTATAAAAGCAAAATGTTCGGTCGTGATTATTTTCGATACCGTTGGAAAATCGTACCTAATTTTTTTCAGGGGCGATCTGGCCAGGAGTGCTAAGGTGTATCAGCACCCCAAAAATTCTAACAGGTGGCTCAGGGGACCCCGGCAGGACTTCTATAGGTGCCCAAAAACTTGAAAAACCCACTCACAGGAGGACTTTTGGTTAGTTAGGAGGGGTCTCGAAGAGAAATTTCGAGTCTGACCGTCACTAAGAAATCTTACTTATTTCGCAAGTTCCATGACAAAAAAGAATCTCTAGTGTCCTACTGAACCTGCGCAGTTAAGTGCGAGGTTTAGTCCAATTCTAGAGAGTGTTAGGTTACATTAGAATTTGGCAATTTACTTAGCACTCAGATCCTAAGTAGCAGAGATCGCCATAAGGCGCGGAAAATCGTCAAATTATCGCGACCTAGGAGCGCGTTGCGCAAATTGCCTATCCGCCCATTTGAAGGCGCCAAATTTTTCCCGATATTTTGCGTTGATATCGCAACCAATCGGAACAAAAGGGGCATAAGTTACAATATAAAATCGTGTCGCCTAGGTTGCAATGTAACTTCTTCATTTGACGTCAAATCTAGATAAACTCGCGATGGATTGCAATTTTTCAAGCTCTGAACCTAATGTATGAAAAAAATACAATATTTCGAGATGGACAATATATTAGTAGTTGGCTGCTTTAGCGTCGATTAGATAGAGTTCCTCTGCTCTTTTGTAAGCCCCCCCCCCCCAAAAAAAGAAGAAGAAGTTAAGACCCTGCAAAATTAAAAAAAATGTTTTCTATGTAGGAATGTAAAAACAGCAAGGTTGAGAACGAAGAATGAGAGCGTGGAACTAAGTACAAGTTTATTGACGATCAATCGTTACGATAAAAAAAAAAAAAAAAAAAAAAAAAAAAAAAAAAAAAAAAAAAATGAAGTACATATACAATGGAACACTCTTAGAGGGAAGGACGTGCAACGGGTTCGCAATTCGCAGTTATACAAATATATGGGAAGTGGAAGCCACTCAACTGGACACATCTAACCGGTGGATTTACATTCATAGAACGGATTGCATCGAACTGCGGACAGATGTTTAGAGAAGCTATTTCAAACAAGTCCTGGAAAGGTTTAGTAAACGGGATAGTACAGCAGGGTTCAAGGGGCTTGGGGGGCAATCGGCGCAACGACTTCGGAAAGCGTAGCTGACCGTGCGGTGAGGGGGTTGTACTTGGCGAGGGCAAGAGACACAGAGGGTCCAAGTATGGGCTTTCCGCACATGGTTCATACTTGCCAAAACACAGCTTCCAAATCCAAAACCCAACGGGGACCTGGAACACAATCTAAACATTTAGTTTGCAGTAGGTTTATTCGGAAAAGCTTATGATGTGATACGAGAGGAAATTATCATCTCAACTTTAGGGAGGTAAGATTTCCTCCGCACAGGGCCGGATTTTCCTACTTGCCGCCCATGGGCCGCCTGTATTTTGTGGCCCCCTTCCCATTCGTTTTGAAACATCAATAAAAACCATCAAGTGAATGTGTCAGCGGGGGAGGGGTGCATAAGACGCGTTTACTCGTGTTGAACACATTTTTTGAGAAAGCCCTGTCAACACTACTAGCAAAAGGTCACGGAACTTTGCGCGAAAGTCAAGTTTCGTAAACCTATCTCTAATGGACAAGGCCTTCCATTCATAAGAAATGAACGAAATAATTATGAAAGAACAAACACAAAATTTGGTTTAATGATGTTAACTTCCACCGCCACGCCGCGCCGCGCCGACCGCACCGTGTTTGGCGCAATGCGTGAAGTATTCACACAGTCTTGTAGGCGCTATGCGTTTCACGCTGACCGCACTGTGTTTGGCGCAATGCGTGAAGTATTCGTGCAGTCTTGTAGGCGCTAATATATGTTACATGCCGATTGTCGCGCCGAGGGCTTCTCCTTTTCATCTCAAGTCCTCGTCATCATTTCTCCCTAAGTCGCCGTTCCAGGCCAAATTGTGTGTTTGGTTTCTCTCTTAACTCGACTAATTAAAGGTGCTGTCTCTTGTATCATTGAAAGACGACAAAATTAGAAATTACTATACTCTCAGGAAATGAGAGATTTTGTAGCCTTTTCTCATTTGTAATTTTTTATTTCTAAATCGGATTTTTTTTTATACCTACATTTAAAAAAATTGCAAAATTTGCCCTAGATTTGCCGCCATGAGCCGCGGCCCATGTGGCCACCCCCTTAATCCGGCCCTGCCTCCGCACAAAAACAGCCATTCAACTTTTCTGTATTTTTTCTATCCTGATGGCACGGTGGATACTCATCTACAAGTACACTTAAGACGAGAAAAATAAAATTACCTGAATGGAGGGTTTTACCGGAAACAGGGCGCTATTTTAGCTGAGTCTTAGGGAAGGACAGAATTTCCTCGGAGAACGCAACTTTCGATCTAAGAGTATGGCAAAATTTTGGAAGAAAAATTATATTTTTCCAACGCCAAGGGAGGGGTGGACTCACTTCTTGTCCCCTTTTCTTTGGCATCCCTGATTGTATACTGCGAAATTTGCATTTTTTACTCGAACGACGATGGCTAAATTCAGAGACACCTTGTATTTCGATAGCAGTGTTTTAAAATGTCTGCGATTGCTTTCTTACTCAGACGAAAACGAGCCAACCGTATTGCTTGAAATGCTCACAGATTATTCTGCAAACAGAAGAAAAATTATGAAAAGTCTCACAAAATCACATCGATAGGTTTTCAATTGAGAAATAAAGACTTGTGCATCGCCGCCTATCATAATACATGATACCTGAGTTTAGCCATCGGTTGATCATTCAGCAACAGGAAGAATTTTAATTTCCCCACGCCGAGTAATTACTGAAGAAAAATCTGCGCTCTGCTGTATTGGCGTGGCGCGCTTTGCTATGCATATCGATTGATCTACCATTTAAATCTATGGAAAATGGTCGAATAACAGGGTGTTAGCAACGAAAACCTTAATAGGTAATCAATTCTTTTTCACAGCTTTAAATGGGGAAATATCGATTTTTCAATATCGACCATTCACGCCTCGTCACTGCTTAAATCATGACTTTATATTATTTTAATTTGGAAATGCAATCTTAAAATAACGAGAGAGAAGGCGATGACAACTCCCAGATGCAACTATTCGAACTCAGATGATGTCCGCGGTGCTGCTCAAAAAAATGGAGGCGTTTCGCATTTGCTTGGCCAAGATATAAGTACGATACACCCACCCATCGTCGATTTTTTTTTTTTTTTTTTTTTTTTTTTTTTTTTTTTTTTTTTTTTTTTTTTTTTATTTGCACAATAGAAATTTTGTACAATAAACACTTTTAGACTTCATATCAGTCTTTTAAAAGCTTGTCTTAATTGTCTAAATAATATTAAACTAATTCTAGATACATTTTATAAAAAGCACTACCTTTATAATATTAAGGAGAAAGAATGAAGACAGATTTACTTCAAAGTAAAAAGGCCTTATTAATTTATCTGTGTAGAATTGGGCGACCGGACTCGGTCAAAGCCCGAAAAACCTCCGATTACGTCTTAAGAGCGTAGGGAGGCACGTGTGGTTTAACTAATTAAGGAAATTTTGAGAAGCCCTGGATTCCAAGCTCATAGGGCTTGCGACGTCTTAATCTTCGACCACATCGGTCCCATTCCGAAAGCTCAAGAGCTTCAGGGTTGGGGTGCCGGTGTAGACGAAATTCGTATGCAGTGTACATCTTGGTGATGTAGTCCTCCACTGAATCAATGTTGAGGTCCGTGCGAATATCTACATTCCTCTCGTACCATCTTGCTTTAGTAATACTTCTCAGGATCTTCATTTGCATGATTTCTATTTTATCTAAATTTGACTTGGCTGCGCAACCCCACAATTGGCAACCGTAACTCCAAACAGGCCTCAACATTGATTTGTAGAGGAGCAACTTGATATTTAGAGATAACCGTGACTTCCGTCCGATGAGCCACTGCATATTGGAAAATTTCAGTCGCAATTGTGCTACTTTTTTTTTAATATGGTTGCCCCACCTGAGCCTGGAATCCAGGTGAAGTCCAAGATATTTGGCGACAGAGTCGTGTGGAATTTTATCTTCTCCTAAAGAAAGCGGGATGCGAATATATGGACGATTAGTAAAAATTACTTCAACTGATTTTGAGGCATTTAATTTTGTTTTATCTCTCATTGTCCATTTATTTATACCCGTCGTCGATACGGTTTATTTTGTTTTCACGAGATCAGCACAGTTCTACCCAAAAAATATCTCAAAAATCCCCCCGCAACGCCCCGTCATAGCCCGTGACCTTTTTTTCAGCGTGGGCCCCTAGAACTACATATTTCGAAATTTCCGTGCTCTTCCTAAATAGGCATTCCAGCAGGCCGATTTTTGAAATTGATGGACAAAGCTATAGACAAAGAAGACAAAAGAGATGTGGAGGGACCCTATCGGTGGAGGCGGGTGGTTGCAATGGACAAAGGACGTAGGTATAATAGACTAAGGGCAACCACACAAGACCCTTTAGTTAGTCTATACCTAACATTCTCCCTTAGCCTCTAGATACCACTCATTTCAATCAATAAGATAGCTCCATTACCCCCATGTTCTCCTTTAATTGTCTATCGCTTTGTCTACCAATTTCAATAATCAACCCGCAGTAGGTACTCGAGGACTCACCGGTAAGCGGTGCCGAGAGAACACGCGTGATCTGGGTCATGGGACTCATGGGGGTGGTGGCAGAGAGGCTTGAACGGCTTGATCTCGACAGCCTCGCAGACGGGTGACCGGAGACCCTTGGGTGACTGGAGACCTTTGGGTGACGGCGCGGTGATCTGGGTGGTCGGCGTCGGCGAGCAGTCCCCGCGACAGTTCGTCTTGAAGTTCTCCACTTTCTTGATGGTCCGGGTGAGCTGGAACCCCTCCGGACTCCACGTCGTCTGCACCGTGGCCTCGCTGTCGATGTCGCCGAGGTCCTTGAACGCCTTCCCGCCGGCCCCGTTCGTGAAGAAAATCTTCTCGCAGACGATGTCCTTCTTCGTCACCGCCGCGCCCGACCATTGCGTCTCCGTCCGGGTGTGCTGATTGATGTTCCGTGTCACCCCGCAGTGCCGCTCTCCTGTAATCATGTTAGTACACCAGTGAAACTTCATCAAGGTCGCTTCCCAGGGCCCGAACACCGCACAGGCTGGCCAGGCTGAGGCCTGGAGCGCGAGCTTTTTGCATGGGCGGATCCAGCAATTTGGCAACACAGGATTTCCTCCATTCAAACCTATGTTAAATAATCGATTTTTGTCGGAGCACGTGGCCCCTTCAAGAATCGATACATTTCCATAGGTTTAAATGGAGGAAAAACAATGTTGCCAATTTGCTGGATCCGTCAATGACTTCTTGGGGGCGCCACATTTTTAATTTTACCGAAACTATGAAGGGAGAAAAAAAGAAAATCCTCGTCATCAGGAGCGGAAAAAATGTGTGGAATAGGCAAGTCTATGTGCCCCGCCGCGGGGCTCCCGCGCCCCTTCTCTGGGCCCGGAGGCAAAAAGAAAAGGAGCTGGAGGGGGGAGGGGGCGCGCGCAAAAAAATCATTATCCTGGGGTGCCAGATTCCTTAATCTGGCCCTATCGCTTCCGTTCTGAAAACGGTCAGTTTGGTGAGTGAACTTTGATGTCAAGTTGACGTCAACATATACACTGAAAAAAAATTTACGGGCTTTATAGACATACCGTCCATTCCGGGCTCAGAGGCCAAAAGTTCCGGGGTAAGCTACGGATCCACCACCCGGAACTTTCAGCCTCGGAGCCCGGAACCCGAACGGTATGTCCATACAGCTCGTAAGTGCGTTTTCCACGGCTGGAGTTTTTTTTCAGTGTTGTATCGACATAGCATCAACGGGGCACCGACTCGGTCAAATTGACCAACAGGGAGCAGTGTTGAGAATAACAAATTGGTTACACGATTACAAACCGGGAAATTACATTTTTTACGAGAGAACGTCATGCAGATTCCTTTGAAAATTTTCAGGAATTTGCTTAGTATTATGGAGAAAATTCACCGAAATTTGCACAAAAATCCGCACAACCGTTTTCATGTAAAAAATATGTTCAGCTGATGTGGCTTGGTTTCTTTTTGTTTACCGCGGTCCAGTTTTTCTTGATACAAGAAAAATAATGTTTGGATTAAGCAAAAAAGTAGTGCATATTAAGTATTTTTTTTTTTTTCTCAGTGTTCCAGAAAAGAGGCAAAAATGACCTTTTCGGAGGGGAACTCCTTCAAGGGGTTGACTGTGGGCATCTCTTGACCTTGACCTACCGCTGAAACTTGAGGACTGTCTAACCTGTACCGGCGTGGGCCTCGACGTTATGCTCCTGGGCGACGAGTCGTTCCTCGCGGCGCTCGG